CTCACCCCACCCCACCCCACCCCACCCCAGGTGACCAGCACCTACCACCTCCATCATTGTGGGGGGGCATTGATTTGCCCTACCACGCCTCTTCCCTCCCCTCCCCTCCCACCACAACGGACTTACCAGCTGAACACAGTATCAGAAATCGGATCAGTATCAGTCAATATGCCTCCTTAAAAATCAGCTATCGGTATCAGCCCAAAAAATCTCTATCGTGCACCTCTACTGTCCGAAGTTTTTATAGGACATATTTTTTGGGGAAAAGTGTCCTTCCTGCTGTGTTTGTGCACAGCTTCCTCCAAGCGAAGCACCCCCACAACAGCACAGGAGAAACCTGACAAAGCAGGGGCATCTACACCAGATGCTACTGCACAGTCATTACTGCACATTTATTTAGTACTTTTATAAGCAAGTGCTAAAATAATGCACAGTGATCTGAGCTACTGCGCAGTAGTGGCAAATGCCTTTTTTGTGACGCTACTTCACAGTAGCGTCGTGTCACTTTTTTTGCCACACGATGCTACAGTGCAGCAATATTGCAGTCAGTGTCTCGTGTAGATGTGGCCAACGAGTTATGGAACCAAAACATACAAAGTACTGTGTTCTGCTGCTTCCCTTCCTCTGCAGACAGGGTGTCTCTTGGTTAATGTCTGCCCTCTACTGGGGACAGACCACTTCGTTACTATTATTTATTCAGGCCCTAACCAGTGTTGCTGATTCTTAGTTACTCTCTGTTGGTAATTTTGCTGGGCAGAGACTTTCCTGCTCCCACCTTCTGTTGTGTTAATCTCTCTGAAAAGGAGGAACTGACCGGGTCTAGTCCTCCCATGCTAGTTTCCCAGCCCCAGGCCTTGCCTGAAGAACCCTGCTTATTTGGCTGTAAAGTGGGGACTATGGTGTGTTACCTGAGGGTTTGTCACCCTTAGGCCTACTACGTAGCTCCTTCAGTTCTCAGGGCAATGAGAATCCTAAGTTCAGCCACAACTTTTCAAACTATGCTTTTCTTGTTTAACTGTTTTGAAGTAAGAAATGTCTACAAAACATAGCAAGGCTCTGGATGGAATTGGGAAAAAAATTCCACAATGTGTCCTTGCTGCCGACTCCCCTCTCTTTTTCTACTCTGCTACTTTTTTTTAAAAAAAAGAGTTGGAGTGGGAAGAGGAAAAGTAGGGAAAAACAATGGAGGAAAACCCAAAATATCATTATGCAGCTTAATGGGAGAAGATGAATTAACCAAAGGTGTTCCTTTTCAGAACCAGCGGATTTTCTCTCTCCAAGAATATATTGACTTTGCTTAGTAATGAGTGTCCATACGCCAATGCTGCTGTTTACGATCAAGGTGTGTTATACGTACTGTAGGAGCATCCTAGGTTCGCTGGGAGGGGCACCGCGCACATGTGGAAAACCCCTGCATTAGTGCTCACAGTAATTTCCAAATAGCAGCTGGCCTCTGTGGGCCCCATAGCTCAAGCTGTTTTTCTTATGTGGCTTGCATCTGCTAAACTAAGTGTGTAAAATGCTGCTTCCCCAGTCACGAAGAATGCTTTCGCTGTTTATGTGCATAAGAATGCTCTAACACTGCCGGAGAAGCAATGTGGTCACAATCATTCTTTAAAATAGATACCAAGAACTTGGAAGCGCTCAGAGGAGAACTCCCAACACAGCTGTAGTGGAAAATGGTGCTGAGAGGAGCAAATATGCCCCAGCACAGTGTGTACTACAGCAGCCTATGCAATGAGAATTCACTGCTGTGGCTCAAGCGTTAGACGCGAGCATGAAACCCCTGAGGCAGCGTTGGTCCTGTCACTAGGAAGTGCCATTTAGCTACTGTTTGGAGCACTAGGAAAAGAAAATGCCACATTGCTTTGGCATGTAAAAAAGCTTTCCACGCAGGTCCCCACTGTGCTGGGAAAGCTCTTGCTTGGGTGAAGATGGATGCTAGTTTCTTCAGGAGACAGGATAAAAAAACCCAGAAGATATAGCCCAGTGTTGGGAGAAACAAAGAATTCCAGTCATCAGGTCTAGGCGAGGAGGTGATGATATTATCCATGGGCTTTGAGGGAAAAGCAGCAGAGTACTTCAAAGGACTGCTCTAGTATCAAGCAGCAAAGGTATTTCCCCGTTTGGAGCCTCATGCCGACATCACAATTTCTAGGGCAACCCAAAGAGCACAGCAGGGACTGGGACCTGGATTCTGTCCCATTTCCAGGACTGACTCACTGCACAGCCTTTGGCAAGTCACTACAACGCCCTGCCCCAGCATTTATGAGCAAGGGCTCATAAAACACAATTAATATCTTAGTATAGGTGCTATGAGACAACTAATTGCTTTAACTGTATTCAGAGCATTTGAGTATCCTTGGCTGAAGGCCATTGGCAGGGTCTGGCATTATTCATGGGCCACTGATGTAAAAATAATTACTCCAATTACCGTTAGTTCACTGGCAATGGGACATGGTGCTTTGTGCAGAGCATCTAGAAGTAGCCAGCACCAGCAGACAAGGGGATTCAGCCAGAGTTTCAAGCGTGGCGGGTACAGGTGTTTCAAGTTTCAGCTTCCAGCTGACACTCAATATAATGCTGTGGCATCTGGGAAGTAGCATTTCCTGAGGCCCATGCAGCACGGAGGAAACGGCAGAAGTCCCCAGGGCTTGGCTAAGTCTGCCATGCAAGCCCTGCATTTCTAAAATGGCTGGTCCCTTTGTTCAGGAGGAAACCAGCCCTTTGACAAGAGTCTTCCGGCTCAAACTCCCACCCAACCAGACAAATTCCTCCGCTTCACAGGAAACAAGATGGGAAGGTCTGTTGCCCAACTGTACCTGGCCTTGTAACTCAGCTCCAGCTGGATAGGGGCTTGGGAAGGGAGCTCTGGACTGGGCCGTGGAGTTCCAGTAGCTGGAGGTGTATCCAGGATAAGGTGGCTGCTCCTAAAGGTGGGGTGGGAAAAGGAGGTAAGAAAAGCACTAGCAGAAGATTACCTACCCTCTCAATAGGGGGGAGAGAACTCACTGCAACACATGCTGGAAAGCTGCAAAGGAAGTGTGTGCACGATAATAATCGACTGCACGCTATATCTGTAGCACACCGTGGCAAGGAAGGGCCTGAAAACATACTACAGCCACAAAACTATTATGAAATGCTACTCCACTCCATATTTATAGACCTTCTCCAAGTTTCTCGCCTCTCCAGGCTAGCTGCCAGATTCACAATTCCTCCCTTGCCCATGCCGAGGCGGCACTGCAAAAAGGAGGCATTTTCCAGGGACTGCTGAAAGGAAAAAGCTGGTGCAAGGGCATCAGTCAAAGTGTGGCACAGCAGCCTCAGTGTGCCAATTGATTCAAAGCAGGCTCCCAAGCATGGAAATTGCAAAATAAATGCTTAATCAAACTGCACTATAGGCTGAAGGACCCGGGAATGTAGCAGCAATTAAGCTCGACTAACTCCCAGCACAGCTCTTCTCTTCAGTGGCAGCTCAACAGCTAGCTGTCCCTATCGTCCTGGAACGGGAATATCTCAGGACTGGGGCATACACGTTGCCCTTCAATAACTGGGGTTTAGCGGCCAACTGACCGCACGCCTGCTTTTCTGCCATTATATCAGCGATGCAATCGCAGGATAACCATTCAGACACGCGCTGCAACGTGCTCGGGTAACCGTTAGTACTTCTTAACCTGGGGCAACGGACATGGACGTCTGAATCGCTGCACTTTGTCCTGGGAGAAAACGGTTGGCCCTAGGACAACTGTGACGTCCATTTACAACCAAAGGGTCCTTTCTGTCGGAGCTGAAAAGCATCCGGACGAAGGGAAGGGCATCAAACCTGCATGCAGGTATACCCTGTTGAACTAACACAGAGACATCCGGGCTATTCCTCCAAGAATTTCTCAGAAAACAGTAACTTTTGTCAGGTGACTCGTTTGCATATTTTTTTCAGAGTGCAGTAACTTTTCAGTAAATACGGTAGTTCTTGAGCCTCTAAATACGGTAATTCCCTATTTTCGACCTGGCGCCGCGAGGGGCCGGCTCCGCGCGAGGCCCGCCCCACCCCAGCTCCCCCGCACCCAGGCAGCTGCGAGCCCCTCGCTCCCCCCCAAGGCCTCCCCGCAGCCCCATAC